ACAGATGCTGGATGTGTATGAGTGTTTCTGTTTATCGAAAGCAAAGTTAGATTTTTTAGTTTTCTGTTACATTCCGGACTGTGACTGCCTGAACACAGGAACCATTTCTAACTTGGCTTTTCTGTCATAGCTTCTAGCATGATGGCTTGGCCAGAGTAGGCTGTCAGTTAGTGACTGGGGAACGGATCAAGATGATGGCAAAGAGACCTAATTAATATTTAATATTATTAATATTTTCTAGGGCTGGGCCCTGTGTTAGGGGATAAACACTTTAACCAGTCTTCACAGAATTTATTATTTAATATTAATATTTCCTATTTCATATTAATGAAACACTCAGTCTTGTTCTTGCAGTTGTTGCAGACAGTAACAGCTAACCTGCTACTTGAGTTTATTTTAATGGGGCGTCCCATCTCTGATTATACTGTCTTCCGATTACTGCATGGTAATGCACAGGCCTGCAGAATCGGATTTTTTGCAGACAAATAAAAGAATCGCTAAAAATGAACAACGTTTATCACTCCGAGGTGTAAGCAGCCTGAAAAGGAGTAAATTTAAATATAAACTTGTTAATGTCTGTTCTTACCTCCCAGGCTGTAAATTCTGTGAAGACAAGTTACGTGTTGATCACCTAAGACAAGGCCCAGCCCACAAAATCCTTAATAAATGTGTGTTGCATGAATGACTTAGAAAAAGTTACTATCATATTTTTTGAAGTACAAACCTTTGTTGGTCACCAGAGGCTTCTTTCTTTCATTGACAGGCCACAGTAGTAATAAAATGGTCACTTGGAAGGCAGAATGCCGTATCTTCAAAATGTGGGGGACTCAGGGGACACTTAATTCCTTGTTAGAAGCACTTGTGATACCTCCAGTATTTTGTTATTAAGCACAATAGAATAGGAAAAATTAATTGAAAATGAATTATGTATTTTAAAAATACTCAAGGAAAAGATCCTGACCAAAGGACTTTATATATTTTTTATTCAAATAGACAAAGATTGATTTTATAGATAAAAATGTTTATAGTACACATAGTTTTTTTTTTTCAAATTTCTTTTCAGCGTCACAGTATTCATTGTTTTTACACCACACCCAGTGCTCCATGTACTACCTGACCTCCCTAATACCCACCACCTGGGGTGGGAGAGCCTCCTGCTATCTTAAAGCCAGAAGATTTAGTAGAAAAATCTGCTCTCAAGACAATTGGTTGAAAGGGGAACATCTAATGCTGGCCTTTCACACGTGGGTTATTTTGTTACTCCAAGTGAAAGTCTTGCAAAACTATGTGTACTACTACCTACTACTACCTAGTACTACTACTACCTAGTAGTAGTACACATAGTTTTGCAAGTAGTTCTACCTAGTAGTAGTACACATAGTTTTGCAAGACTTTCACTTGGAGTAACAAAATAACCCACGTGTGAAAGGCCAGCATTAGATGTTCCCCTTTCAACCAATTGTCTTGAGAGCAGATAGTTTTTCTACTAAATCTTCTGGCTTTAAGATAGCAGGAGGCTCTCCCACTCATGTTGTACGTCTGCTCCAGCCCTCTCGTGGCCTCTGCCACCAACATAAGCTCTTGTGAGTGGGCTTTGCTACCCCACTTTAATCCCTGTCATTTGGCTTTAGGAATCCCTCCCTTCCCTAGGGTCTGACTTCTGCTCCCCGCTCCAGCCCCAGCCCAGGGGAGATTTGACCACTGTATTAATCATGTCTCTTTATTCAGTATTTTTGATGCTTTGTCATCTTGGAGTCCCACTAGCTGTGGTGGGACTGCCCTTCCCAGGGCTAGCTAATCTGTACAGAGAGCAAAAAACTCACCTGGCCCAAGGAATGTGGCTTTCATAAGCACAGCCACCAACCCAGAGCTCACACCCCCATCCCTCCTCTGGTACCAGACAACTAGGCATGACCTCATACACCCCAGAGCCCGCAGAAATTATCCAAACCAGTTGGTCCTAAACCTGCTTACGCTGCCTCCCCTGTTCCTTCTCACAGAACCTCCCTGCCAAAAGAAAAACCAAAAACCAAAACCAAAGACAAAAACAAACAAGCCACAACCAACAAAGGCTCTTGCCCATGTTTTCTCTTCCCTCGGCCTCCTGTCTGACCCTGGGGCTCCTTGTGGAGTGGGCATGCCTCCTGCTCTTGGGATCTGTGAGTAGTAACAACCCATCTTTTCGATGGCAATCATGTCCTGCTCTGTTGGCCTCACCATACCCGAATAATAATAAAAGCTATACTTTAAAGGATCCACCCATAGCAAAACAGTCTCTTACCACCTTACACTTAATGCTTTGTGTCTGGAACATTTGATTGAGGCTGAATAATGCCTGTTTTCAACAAGAATAGCTGATATTTATTGGCTGCTTATGAGGTGCCAGATATCATTCCAAGCACTGTGGAAACAGCTATGGACAGTGTTTCTGCTCTCACACAGCTTACTTCTAGAGAGGGGAGAGATCACTCACAAACACATGGCGACTATGTCAGATGCCATGGAGAAAAATGCAGGACAGGAGGGGGAGAGCGCCAAAGGATTGTATTTTTGTATAGAATTGACATTTGAGTGGTGCCTGGAATGAACGTTGGGGTTGGATCTCATGTAACATTGAGCTTGGCTGGGTAATTGCATGTAGGGGAATATGCTCACTTTTTTTTTTAAGATTTTATTTATTTATTTGTCAGAGAGATAGAGAGAGAGTGTACAAGTAGGGGGAGCAGGCAAGCAGAGGCAGAAGCAGGATCCCCACTGAGCAAGGAGCCCAATGTGGGACTTCATTCCCAGGACCCTGGGATCATGGCCTGAGTCAAAAGCAGACACTTAACCGACAGAGCCACCCAAGCATCCCAATATGCTCCCTTCTTGAAAGACCATTTGGGGTAGATCCAAGAGTCCTTTAAAGTGAATATTACTCCTCCAGTCATTCCTACTGAAGGAGAAAGCAAAAGAAAGAACAAAAGGGAAGAAGGAAGACAAGTTAGAGAAGGAGAAAAGGAGAAAGAAGAATAATAATTAGAAGAGGAAGATAAAGAGGAAGGGGGAAGGAACAGAGGAGTGAGAAGATAGGTAGATCTATACATTGACGTTTGGCTTAGTATTTGGCTGAGAACAACTGCTTGGTGTCAGGAGCTTGAAACCTCTAGAAGGGCTGAAGAGCCAAAAGCCTGCTTCCAATCCCTGCTTCCCATCCTGGGAAATGGTGCGGTCAACAACCCTGCGATCAAGCAGGTCAGCTTTGAGTCGAATCAGTGTGCCTGTGTCTGCTGCAAAAAGACAATTTTTATTTGGTTATAGTTTTACTATCTGACTATGCACTTTAAAGTTCTGGTAGGAATTTTGAGGTGACATTGGGAGTGAAAAGATCTTTTGTGCTTCATGTATTTAAATTGTATGTCCAGTAAGGTATAAATATATATTTAATTCTGTCAGTAAAATACATAAAAACAAACGATTGAAAATCATTACTGTTATGTGTAGAAGTAATCTAAACATTGGCAGTAGTTCGATTTAGCATGGAAATAGGATGTGAATAGGATCATTAAGAGAATGTGTTGGCTACATTAGTTTAGGAAGAATATCATATCCTTTATGAGTCAATTAGTGTTTACAAAAACTTAAATAATCACATGAGGAAAAATAACAGATATTGGATTGTACCAGTTTTATCTGCAGTTTATTTTCCATGCTAGTATGGATAACATCAAGCAAAATAAACTCCATGGGCTCTCATTAATTTTTCATTATCTGATTCCATCTAGCACATGGAGTTCAAGAAAAGTTCTGTTTCACTTGGGAACATTCGAGAATGTTTCACATCTTGTGAGAAGCCCTTAAAAGCAGAATGTTACTTTGTTATCTTAAACTAGGGAAAGGGAAATATTTAAAATTGTGTATAACAACATCCATGATAGATCTTAGCTCCAAAGAAAAAAATGTAAAGAGAATTAAAAAAAAGGAGAAGGAAAAGTATAAAGAAAAATGTGGTCTTTTGTTCCTTTCCCATATATGTATCTTGCTGCTCCCCTGGTTTCAGAAGTGAAGGTATCATAAGAAATAGGTGATGTAACCACGTATGGAGCCCTCTGGTGACTGATGGCGAGGACAGATTATTTTATCGGCTCTATAATGGCAAACTTTAAAAATGTTAAACTATCAGAAGTTTAACTATACAATATGATAATACTTTCAAAAATCAAACTTTAGATTTATGCTGTTACCCCAGAAGTTCATGTAATAAAGACAGCATTCATTTTGGTAATGCTTTTGGTTCAATGTTTGTTTATTTATTTATTTAATTAATTTATTTATTTGAGACATTTCATTCATCTAAAAGGCATATTTCATGTTCTACTCATTGTTGTTGACATTATTTTGCTTTCGTTATCGACCAGGACTCCGTGCTCTGCTCTTTGGCCAGGGAGCAGGACTCATTGCCTGGAGGATTTGGTGTAGAACAAAAATAGAATTAATAGCCAAATTCTCTACTTGATCCTCCTGAAAATGGTTTGCAGGGGTGGCCGGAAAATGTCCATAACTATTCCGCTGAATTTGCTTGGTGTAGAACAAAAATAGAATTAATAGCCAAATTCTCTACTTGATCCTCCTGAAAATGGTTTGCAGGGGTGGCCGGAAAATGTCCATAACTATTCCGCTGAATTTGCTCTTTGTTTAGATTTAAAGTATGTATTTCAAACCTTGATTGAAGGAGAAAAGAAATCATGTCAAAATGTTTCAGGACACGATTGAGATTAGAGGTGAAGAGCATAATTGTGATGATGAGATGTTAGTGGAATCTAAAGAGAAATGATCAGTGCTGTCTTTAGATCATCACATTATTCTTAAAGAGGCTTATTTAAAAGCCTGGAAATAGTACAGTTTTACTGACTAATGTCTGTTGAGTAAGAAAGTAGGAGGTGTGAAACTCTTAATTTTTAAATAGAAAAGTTCTTCCTGGGTGTTGTCAGTAACTTTCAGAAGCCCAGGACAAATGATAATTAGATCAATGCAAAGAAAACAGCAATGAACAGAGCAGGGAGAACGAGGAGCCTGGCCCAATGGCAGAGCAAGCAAGGCTTCTGAGGGGTCCCAGCAGCCCTCGTCTTCATGGGCTTCAGGGTCCTGTCCCACTGGGTCAGGATGGCATGTCTGGCTCCTGGCCACTTGCCTGGGCCCACCAGCCTAAACTGGTATGGGCTGCAAGGACCAAAGAACACCTCCACAGCCAGTTTGGGATCTGTGAGGAACAGCCATGGGATGTTGGGCTTTGCCCCAATGAAGGAGGCAAGTTCATCCATATATGTAATATAATCCGTCTGTACCGTCTTGCTGGTGCCAAACCAAGAGGTGGGAAGAGGAAACAGCACTGTGGATTCCGAAGCTCTGTGTACAAGTCTTATAGGAACAAGAACAGGGAAAATGCCTCACATCTTTTTATCAGAGGGAATCAACGTCAGTCCCTTGTGTTGGTAAGGGGACCTCACTTATTTATTCTGCACTTTGTAGCCTTTTCCAAGAGACCTGCATGCCGATCTCATTTGGACATTCCCCAATACCATGCAGCAGCTGAGAAATGCCTTTCCATCCCCGTTCACCAGTGGAAATGATCTCTTACTCATGAAGCTCGTTCATGGCCGCTGAGCTAGTTAGTGACAGAGGTAGGATTAGAGCTCTGTTCTCCTGACTGTTCTCATTTGCTGAGTCCTGTTCCTTAGAGCCATCTGGTTGGTGGCAACCTCTGTATCTTAGATGATTTACGGGCTAGAAAATAGAAGTCCACGTTCGTGCACTCCCAGACTCCTCTGATTTCTAATCCTTTCTAGGTCTTCTTTCTGTCATATATTGCAGGAGCCATGGAGGGATGAAACGGGACTGAGTACTGTGTCAGGGGCAAAGGGAATCCTCCATAAATACTTGCTGAATGGATGAATTTGCTCATAGCTGTCACCTTAAAGACCTCACTCTGCACCATTTAAGACTAAGAGAGTTACAAGGATTCATGGATTCTGATTTTTCTATGGAAACCCTAGACCATTTTCACAATAGGTGCTCTTACCATTTGAGCTTTTTCCCTCTTTTTTTTTATCAATATCATTCATCATGTCTGTTACAGAATGCAAAGTACAAGTTCCTAAAAAAAGGTGGGGGAGAGAGGGGAAAGGCATGATAATAGTTAAGTAAGTCTGGCATAAGATCAGCCTGCTATTTTTTCCTTTTTAATAAGGATTTATGTATCACATTAGTATTTCCATTTTTTCGGGTCATTGCCTAGCAAAGTAAAATCTTGAGCAAATCAACAGGTGGTCATTTTGAGAGAAACATGTAAGTCATTTCCAGTTTTCTCAAAACAGAAATGTGACATAATTAAAAACCCAGAACCAAATAGCTCTGTATCTTTGTATCTTTGCTCTTAAACCAGTTAGCAAATGTTTAAAATCAGTTTTAAGGATTATGTTCTAGTCTCTCAGCTGTATTTTAAAAATGTATCTAATAGTTTATAGCCAAAGTTATATCAGCATCTCTATTTTAGATTTAAGGAAAAAAACTTCATAGGAAATTACCCCACTTTGTCAGAAAAAGGAATTTCCAACACGTAAGTTGTAGAATCTATTCAAGTCCCAACTGTCTCTCTGAAGAACCAACAGTTTCTGGGTGAGACTGAAGACAGGAGCTGTGCACAGGACACAGAGGACTCGGGGGAGCCCCCAGACACTGGATCCAGGTTGGGACTGCCCGGATGGCAGGCTTATTCTGAAATAGGTTTACAGACTTCTCTGAAACCCATGCCAAAACATGCTTTTGTGCCCAGAGGTACTTGAAATTTAGGGTGGTTTCTTTGGCAATTTGGGGATCACCTTGAAGAAGACTAGAAATCCCAGATCTGGTGGCTCAGGACCTACAATGATTGCCTAACTACCCGTTCCTGCAATCCTTTCGGGCTGGGTCACTTGAACAGCTTTTGTAGGTAGGCATGGCCTTGTTCCAAACCTTGGACCTTGTCCTGTCCCTGGGCAGAAAGACAGATCAAGAAGGAAGTGATTGTGCTCACTAGCCCACCAGCTCCTGCCATGGGGTTGCCTGTAACTGGCTCCTCTGTTCTGGCATTTAGATTACCCCAAATTGAATTACTTGCCTTATCACTCATTTCCTCTAAGGCTGAGTCTTTGTTTTGAATATCAATTCTCTATTGATTTGTCTCTGCCTTGTCTCCTTTCTTCAGAGCCCAAGTTACAATGATCCCAGCAGAGTAGGTGTCTGACCCTCTAATGTCAGTCTCCCTGAGCCTGAACCCTAAGCTCACTTTTTTCTGAGTGGAGTGTGATGCCACCACCTTCCTGCCTGTTGCTGCGTGGTGCAACACATCTCTGACTCGGAGGAAAGAGTGACGGAGATTCAAAGGGATCACTGACACATGCTACTGGCATAAAGTTGATGACAGCATGCTGGTGAAACGGGTCTCATACACAAAGTGGCAGTTTCCAACTTCCTGTATGAAAGAACATTTAAATCCCAGCAAGTCAGGTAGGACCGGAAGCCCTACATATGATTTCAAAGGGAGTAGACCTGCTAAGCTCCCTTTTCCAGAAGTTTTATACCTCTAGGACCAAGCAAACTTTGCACATTAAACTTTGACACCTTTTTTTGTTCTACAACCATGGACTTTTGTCTTCTGATCTGAATCTTCACGTAACTGCATTCAAACCTTAATATGGATTAAGGTTTGAGCCTTGTAACTTCTGTTGGAGAATGCTGCCCATTTTTCTTTCCTGACCTCAATCGAGTTTGCTGTTGTTGTTATTATTTTCTTTTTTTAAGATTTAATTTAATTTAAAATTTTTTCAGTGTTCCAAAATTCATTGTTTATGCACTACACCCAGTGCTCCATGCAATCCGTGCCCTCCTTAATACCTACCACCAGGCTCACCCAACCCCCCACTCCCCTCCCCTCCAAAACCCTCAGTTTGTTTCTCAGAGTCCACAGTCTGTCTTAGTTCGTCTCTCCCTCCAATTTCCCCCAACTCCCTTCTCCTCTCCAGCTCCCAGTGTCCTCCATATTATTCCTTATGCTCCACAAGTAGGTGAAGCCATATGATGATTGACTCTCTCTACTTGACTTATTTCACTATTTTCTTAATGCAGGCTCTCAGTATTCCTCTACCTTAGAGACTGATGATCTGCTACTCCTAGTACTTTCTGCTTCTAATGATCCACTGCTTGTTCTTATCTGACACATGACAGGGAAGAAGATAGAGCAGAAATGATACTGACTTTCCAGCAACATGATTTTTTCCATGACGTGAATATCTGAAGTTGGCTGGATATTGGCTTGGAAACATCTCTTATTAACCTTTCAAACAAGGTCATTCTATTGAGTTTTGAAATAATAATTTTATAGAATTGTCATATATTTAAGACCAGAAGCTCTACTGTTCTCAAGGTTAATAAGAGTTTACAGCTCTAAGGAGTTATGAATCACAAAATACTTCTTGAATAATATCTTGTACTATTGCGTATGATAATCCAATGTGATATATTTTTAAAAGCTTATAGAAGATAGTACCAAAAGTATAGAATTATACATTCAAAACTCAATAGGACCTAGGATTTTCCCGTTATTATTATTGTTTTCACAAAGACTCAAAGGCATTCTTATTGGCATCCCTCTTCCCCATCAATGACCTTCTTAGTCTACTTACCTTTTATTACTTGTACTGCCCAGCGGGCCTGCAGGTCAGCTGTGGGAATGGCAGCCCCAAGGGACTGGACAAAACCAATCACTGCCATGGTTGGCTTCTCCAGTTTAGGAGGGAAAATGCCTTTAAACAAGGTGACCTCATTGTTTTTGCTCTTAATGATGGACTCATCGAGGAAGGGGTAGTCATAACTATAGCCTGTTGCAAAAATGACACAATTGATGGCCTCAAACACCGTGCCATCCTCAAAAATGGCTGAAGTCTCAGTGAGTTCTCTCACACTCGGCTTAATGGACACCGTGCCGCACAGAATGCAAGCTGGGAGCTGATCATTAAATACAGGTTCTTTCCTCAGGGTTCTGTATGGAAAATAGAGACAACGACTAGAACAGTAATATTTCCTCTTTGTTTTATTGCTCCATAATAATTAATAATCAACTAATAAGGAAGAAGAAAACTACCCAAGCTTTTTCCCTTGTGCCATGGAGTCTCACCAACATGGTTGAAAAACAAAACCGAAGTAAGGCAGTATTGTGAAGTAAGACAAGCTGCCTTTTCCTGATCCCTTCTCTACTTCCCATGATCTTTCTCTCCTCTTCCACAGACCTCCAAATCCCAGAATCAGCACCCACGCCCTCTCCCCTGTTATAGATGTATCAGGAAAGATCCTAAATCCGGGTACTTAGCTGGGCATTTGGATTTTCTTTTCTTCAATTCTTATTAACTGTGAACCTCATTTGAGTCAAAGTTTCTCAGTTTCTCTTGCCTCATCTTTCTCATCTGGAATGACAGTAACCATCTCGGGTCATTGGGAACCAAAATAATACAAAGATCTGGCCTGAGCTCTCTGGTGGGGTGGGGTGTGAGCCCCTTGCAGACAAAGACACAAGTCAGGTGAGGGAGGGAGTGTCAGAGATTTATACAGGCCAGAAGAAGGAGGGGGCCAATTCAAATCTTTGGTTGGTGGAAGTCTGAAAAGGAGAATGTTTTATTATTTTTTGTCCAGCATTATCTACTGAGTGTCAATAAATCTGAACTTTGGGGTGAAAGTGAGTAACACGGAAGAAAAAGGCTTTGCTCTTGTGTTACTATGGGAGCTGTGAGAGAGAGCCACAGTGAGAGTCTACATGGAACAAAACCGAGTCAAACAATGGGATGGGTTGGAATCCTGGTTGGAAAAAGGCTGGATTCAACTGTGAGAACTACCTGCCATTTATCTTAAACCCACTGTCATCAGGCTTTTGGCCCCACTGCCACCTGGAAACGGCTCTTGTTAAGGCCACCAGGATGGTCAAACTGCCAGATCCACTGTCACTTCTCATTTTATGCAGCTTACCTGCGGTGTTTCCCAGTTGATGGTTTCCTCCTTCTTGAAACACTGTCTTCATTTTGCTTCCAGGTCATCACTCCTCTCTCTCGTGACTCCTTTCCTACCCATCTGTTATTCTGTCTTAGTGTCTCCTGCTGAATTCTCCTTCTCTTCCTGACCTCTGTACGAGGACATACCCCAGGACTTCACCCCTCAGACCTTTCTTCTTCTTCACCTACATTCATACTTTAAGAGATGTCATCTGGTTTCATTGCTTAAAGTACTATCTCTACTCTGGCGAATCCACATTTTTAAACTATGGTTTCACTCTCCCTTCTGTCTTGTGTATCCCTAGGCAGCTCAATATTCTTTTATAATGATGACTAATTGACATTCCAACTTTGATATATTTAAGACTAAATTTCACTCCCCCTGTGGTCTTCCACATCCCAGTAACTGTCAACTCCATCCTGGCATCCTCGCTCAGATCAAAAGTCTGGAAGGTATCTCTGACTTCTTTCTTGTTCTCACATCTGTTATCCAATCTAACAGGAAGTCCTACTTGGGTTTACCTTTAAGATATATCCCAAATCTGACCACTGCTGAGCATTTGCTGCTAACAGTCCTAGTCCATGTCACCAACTTCTGTCATCTGGGTTTTTGACAATAGTCTGGTGCCTAGTCTTTTCACTTCCTTCCTTGACCTACCCCTATCCACTGAGTGATGACCACCGTGCCAGAGTGATTTCTTCGGGTTAACTTGGATCTTGTCGCTGGCTTGCTCGGGTGCCTTCTCTGGCTTCCCATTGCATTCACAGTAGAAGCCAGAGTCCTTACGATGCTTACCAGGCCCAGTGCCATCTGGCCATTTTGATGTCTTCTTGTTTCATCTCCTGCTGCTCTCGCCATCCCCTTTTCCTCAGGGAGAGAAGGCCATTGAACATTCCAGTCATGGCCCTGAAGAGGCAGCGAACGAACAGTTTCCTCTGGGATACTTTCCCCCGGACATCCTCCTGGCTCATTCCTTCAGCTCCTTCAGGAATTTGCCTAAAAGTCTCCTCCTCAGGAAGGCCTTCTCTGGGGATGCTAGCAGCAACCCCCCACCCATTACATCTGCTGTTTTGTTCTTTCTCCAGAGAACACATCAGCATGTGATCTCCTGCCACTTGTCTCTTGTCTGTTTCCCACTACTAGAAGGTAAGTTCACGAAGACAAGGATTTTCTGTGTTTTGTTCACAGCTGTATTCACAGGGCTTAACATAGGACCTGATGCATAATAATGCTTAAATATTTGTTGAGTAAGTTAACCTTGATGTAAACAGTTTATAATTTGGATTTTTCGGCACACATCAAAGTAATTTCTTATGTGTCTGAGGGATACGTCTAGGGGGATATTATAGGAACGAGTGAGGAGGAAGCTGAAGATGGAGGTGTTGCACATTTCAGTTAAGGTAAGGTGATGAGAGCGTAGCGGGGAAAGTCCTGCTTTGCTGAACTGAACTTTGCCATGAAGTGAGAGGCAGTAAACAAGGTGGTTAAGAGTGAGGGGCTCTGGAGTCAGCAGATCCGCGTTCATCTTGAATATTGCTTCTGCCTTCTGGCTATGGGACTTTGGTAAATTCATTCAGTACACTGAACCTCAGTTTTCTCATCTTTAAAATGGGGATTATAATAGAGACCTCCTCATAGTTGTTCTGAGGATAAGATGATGCATGTCAGAGCCTTGCGGACTCACACTAAGTGCTTAAAACATAACTATTACTATATTTGCTTAAGGGACTAATTCCTGACTCATTATATAACTTTCCAGCTGTGCAAATCTGGTAACAAAGATTGTGAAACAAGAAATCACGCTGCATTTTTGCAGTTCTTCATCCCCTGAAATGTGAGACGTGGTTATTTCACTAATATTATTTTGATTGGTTTGGGAGTTTCAACACACAGTGTGAGGTGTTGACACTGAAATAAAACTTGGCAGGCATGTCATATTTAACTCTGTGTTACCCGTTTAAAGGCATCAAGTCGTAGTTCTCATGCTTGAATCTCGCATTCATCTGCTTCATGTACCACCAGTCAGAGATGGCTGTCGGCAGGTTGTTCTTGAGGAAGGTTTCAAACCGGGTGATAAACACCATGTCCCATGGATAGCCATCATCCCAGACCCGGCTCATCACCCAGGAGCCACTTCTGGAACTGATGATGACCTTAAAAAAAAAAACACAGCAATTTAACCATTAAGTAGTGACCATTTGTAGTGGGTACTGTGGTATGTCCCTCAGATCTGACTTTCGGAATGGAGTTATCACAGCAGCTACTGGGAGTGTTGCCAGCAGGCCGCCCTCAGCCATTAGCCCTCTTTCAGAGTTGCTTTGGTTGAAAAGGGAAGGCCTTTCCCAAAGTCTTGTTGTCTTTCCGGATTCCCTGTCTTCAGGGTCTGTTTGATGCAGGGATATGAAATCTCTCACTCCAACTTGGGACAATTCAGAAGGACAGCTTTGGAGTAGGGTAGAGGGAAACTTCCTTCCCTTGCCTCAGAGGTACTCATCCCAAAAGCACTCCCAAATAAACTTGCTACACTCCAGTCCACATCTTTGGACAAAGCACCCTGTCATCGTCTCTGCTGGAGGTGACCAATAACTGAATTTTCACCGCATTTCCTCTAGTGCATATGTGATGATCATTGTTTACAATCAAGCAATTATGACCCCCCCAAAATGGTGTTTTGACTTAAAATCCCTTTCCCCATCCCAAGAGAATGCAAGAAATTTGGCATCAGAGTACTATAGGCTCAAATCCTGGCTCTGCTACTTACTAATTATGTGGTTTGGGGAAAATTCCTTGAACTTCTCTAATATTCGGTTCCCTTATTGGTAAAATGGAGATAAGAAGTACCCACCGGTACCTGCGTGAAATTTAACGCAGTGTGCTTACCATGCGGTAGGACCACCACCGCCTGACGGGGAGGATGTGTTCCTTTCCTCCCCTTCTGTTATGATAATCCCTAACGGTATAGGTTTTCAGGCATTTTTAAAAAAGAATTTTTGTATATAATGCTATTTCAAAGTATGTATGTATGTATGTATGTATTATGTTTAACTGTAAAGGAAGCCAAAAAGGAGAGCCTGGGGAACCAAACTGCTGAGAGCCCCTGAAATTGGCCTTTCTTTCTGCTAATTTATCATACATACAGCTAATGGATGAATCTCTTAAAACTATGACCTCATGATATCTTTCCTTAGCTCAAGAAGCTGAGGTGATTTACCATCATTTATAAAGAAATTCAAATTCTTTAGCCAGTCATTCAATCCCTTAAAAAATACGACATAACCTGACTCCAGTCTTCCTTTCCTCTCTCAGTTCCTGTAGCTACTCTGTTCCTTGGAATCAGGTCTGACGTTCAGTCCTCTAACCCTTCATTAATTTCCCCCGTGACTTTCAAGAAGACAGTGGACATATCTAGTCCTCAGTTATCTTTTCTGTAAAATGGGCACAATAAAACCCAGTGTACTTTCTTTCCACAATCAAAGGAGCGCATTTACACCCGGGCACTGGAGTACCGTATGCATTACACAAACTGTTACTGTTATCCATCTCCATTCCAGCACGATGAACCATGACAGTGGAATATGCTGTTCTCACTCCTGTCTCCACACTGTCGTGAATGCCATTCTCCCTTTTAAGAACACTCTTTGCCATCTCTTCAACCATATGACTCATGGATATCCTTCAAGGCCTGGTTCAGGTCTACGCCCTCTGTGAGGCCTGCAGTTCCGGAATCAGAGCCTCGTGTTCCTGGAGCATCACCTGTGCGTCCCTTGTTCCAGGGGCGGCTCTTGTACTGTTGTTAGACTTTCTGCTTAACTCTTGAGGTTATGTTTAATTTACGTCCTACCAGTGTATTATTTTCCCAAGTAGATTTTAAGATGAGAGGGGCATAGAGTTGACTTCTTCGTGTCTCTACACTGTCTCCGACAGTGCTTTGAACAATGGACAGGAATATGTTGTTATGCCATTTGTCCCGTCCTGGTGGTCTGGCTTCACCAATGGTATCACCGTCATTTAAAATGGACCTGTGTCGTGGATGCCCAGTGTGATGTCAGTAGGCATAGCCTCTAGAGATAGAATTCCTATCTGTGGGCTTCTGGGCAGTCAGTCCTAAAGAATCTTCCCACTGGTAGGTGCTGTTTTTCAAGCTCCTTCCCTTCCCCCTGTGAGCCCTGTTTCACCTCTTCTCTGTTTCCTCTACAACCTCTCCTTATACCAGTCTTTTCCAGACCCGATGTATTGCCACAAAGGGGTCTTGTCTCCGTTTCTTGAGACTCTAAGCTTCTTCCTGCTTCAATACCTTCTTCCTAGAGTCCTCTTCTGACACTGAACCCTTTTCTCAACTTTTTGCTCTGAGCTTAAATGCCATCAGCTGGAAAGGGCCTTCCCACTTCCTTGTCTGAGGCCCTTATCCATGCTTTTCCTTGTTTTTTACTAGCACTTTTCACAATTTTCACATTATTTGTGCATTTACTTATTTAATATCCATATGTTATACTAGACTCTGAGTTCAGGGCGGGCATCATGTCTGTTTTATTCTCTGCTTTCTCTCCAGCACTCAAGCCAGTGTGGCACACAGTAGGCTCTCAGCAAGTAAGTATGGGACGACCGTATGTGTGAACGAATGAATGTAGAACTCTCTCTTGCTGACATCATATGTAAATGCTTTGACTTCTTACCAAGCTCAAAACGTAGGTTCGATTTTTATCTGCTTTATTTATCTTTGTGAGAAAACTGACAGTCAGAGGGATTGATATATTAAACTCAAGAGTGTCAGAGTCATAATCTTAACCCTAAATCCACACTAGTGTCAGAGGAGTGGCTGACATGTTAGATACCAAATGTCCTGAAGAAGATTGTTGAATGACATCACTCCTTGGTGATATTCTGCCTTTGTCACACCAAACCATTTAAAACCTCACTTGGGGTGCCTGCGTGGCTCAGTCAGCTGGCCTCTTGATTTTGGCTCAGGTCATGATCTCAGGGTTGTGGGATCCAGCCCCATGTGGGGCTCCCTACTCAGCAGGAATTCTGCTTGACATTCTCTACCTCTCCCTCTGCTTCTATCCCTGCTCGCACACACATTCCCTCTCAAGTAGATAAATAAATCTAAACCAAAACTAAGACCCAAACCCAAACCTCACCTATTATGGAGGGAACCTGAGATGTACGAAACACTGCTTAGTCTTCCAGTCAAGAACCCTGCACACCACTACCCCCTCCCTAGTTTCTTATCGCACCTTTCAAATGGTAGCTGTCTCGGGTCCTTCAAAGATAGCTCCGGACTACCTGAGAAACGGTACCTGCTCAGCTGTGTGACTGAGTTCCGTGGCAATATCACAGCCCAAATTCCCCAGGCCCATCACCAGGATTCGCTTCCCTTTGAATATTCCTGGCTCCTTATAATCCCGGCTGTTTTAAGCATTTGCCTTTAAAAAGTTTTAGTCCTGAGTGAAAAGTGGGAAACATAGGAATCATCTGGTTTCCATTTAAAAACAAACACTGCTGTAAAAGACTTGTGGGTGAATGCAGTTAAAAGAGTATGGAACTTCAACAGTCCGGGTATATTCCATGTAATAATAGACACATGCTTTAATTCGATCTGTACTTTTGAATATATAAAAAAAATACTGTGAAGATATTCCCTCATGCCGGATGTGTAGATGGCAGACTAAATTTCAGCCTTACCTGGAAAGGACTCTTTTGGTAGGTTGGGGGACACATGATGTCCAGAACAAGTCAGCACAGCATCAGAGACGGCTGATTCCTTTTTACCATCTCTTATTCCTTTTTACCATCTCTTTCAGTGGTAAAAAACATCCCGTTGACCAGTGACTGAGAAATCAGGACGTTTATTTATACCAGATACAAGGGTCTGAAAGAAATACAGAAAGATCGCCTTTTCCATGCTAGCAGGTACATTTGACGCCAACTTGACGAAATAGTACGGAAAAAGTCCTCAACAGTGGCTTAGGGAAAATCATCCATTATTAACATACATATTATGGGGGAACCTGGGTGGCTCAGTCGGTTAAGCCCGTTCCTTCAGCTCAGGTCAGAATCCTGGAGTCCCAGGATTGAACCCCGCCTCAGGCTCCCTGCTCAGCCAGGAGTCTGCTGCTCCCTCTGCCCCTTACCCTGCTCATGCTCTCTCTCTCCCTCTTTGTCTAGCTCTCTCTCTCAAATAAGTCATAACTGAAACATTAAAAAATACATATTACGAATTCAAAATTAAAAAATCAAAACATCAAATGGTAAATATATATTTTTCGTGATTTTATTTGATTATTTGAGAGAGAGAGAGAGAACATGAGTGGGGCGTGGTAGAGAGAGAAGCAGGCTCCCTGCTGAGTGGGGAGCTGGCCGTGGGGCTCAATCCCAGGACCTTGGGATCATGACCTGAGCTGAAGGCAGATGCTTAACTGACTGAGCCACCCAGGTGCCCAGGTAAATACATATTTTTATCCTCACATATCTTCTTGGGCACAGCCAGTATGTTTTGTACTGAGTGACTCCCCTCTTTGAGCTATGACTGTGAATTCAATCATAGCTTACACGTGGCATGTACCACATGTACTAAGTAATCTGGAGGCCAGTCATTTTTGTAGTAACAGTTACTACTTCCCAACATATCTCTTTAGCTATTTTATTTTTTAATATTATTGTCTTAAATGAAAGATATCATCTATATTCAGAGAATGAGTTCTCAAATTAGTGTGCATGAGAATTACCAGGAAAGCTTATTAAAGTACAGATTCCCAGGCCACAGTCCCAGATGTTCTGAACCAGTAGATCTGGCATAGGATATGAAAATTTGAATTTCTAATGTACTCTCAGGAGATGTCGATGCTATTTGGCCCATATACTGAGTTTCACTGGATTGGATTATCAATAAATATTATTCACAGCTTCACTGGATTGGATTATCAATAAATATTCATTCACAGCTGAACAGCTGCCTGTTGCTTGGTATGTTCTTTCATCAAAAATATTTTTTCAGCTCGTCTGATTGTATTGGGAAGAGGACCTCTGTTTGGTACAAGTCATTCTTATAAATTTTATTATGTATAGCATTTCATACTGATTAAACACAGTGTGAAATGTACACAGTACACAGATCTGTATAATGCCTGTTACTTATGAAATATAATAAAATAAGCACTTATGAATCCATAAAATCTTACATATCATTTATTTAGAATAAGTCTGGGATTATGCATTTATTTATATTATGGTAAATGGTTCCTTTTTGAATTACAGTTTCTGGTTTTTTGCTGCTGGCTTGCAGAAATGCAATTGATTTTTATATCTTGATCTTGTATACTACCAATAACCCTGACACTTTTATGTTAATTATTATTATAATTACTATTATTTTAAATTTTTAAAATTTTTTCAGTGTTCCAAGATTCATTATTTATGCACCACACCCAGTGCTCCATGCAATATGTGCCCTCCTTAATCCCCACCACCAGGCTCACCCAACCCCCCACCCCTTCCTCTCCAAAACTCTCAGTTAGTTTCTCAGAGACCACATTCTCTCATGGTTTGTCTCCTTCTCCGATTCCCCCCCACCTTCACTTTTCCTTTCCTTCTACTAATGTCTTCCATGTTTCCTTGTGCTCCACAAGTAAGTGAAACCATATGATAATTGACTCTCTCTGCTTGACTTATTTCACTCCAGTCCCATCCATGTTGATAAAAAAAATTTGGTATTCATCCTTTCTAATGGAGGCGTAATACTCCATAGTATTTATGGACCACATCTCCTTTATCCATTCGTCTGCTGAAGACTTTGAGATCCAGTACCTTAAGCTTACAGCACATCTCAGTTTTTGGCTAGTGGCTACCGCATTGAGCAGTGCAGATTTAAGATAATATGTTTCTATGGATCAAGAAAATTCCCTTCTAATCTTAGTCTGGTGAGAGTTTACTTTCTTTTTTCTCTGCTTTGCTTTTCTTTTAGGTAACTTATTTCATTAATTTCTTTCATTAAATGTTAAATGGATGTTAAATTTTATTTAATGCCTTTTCAGAAGTTAGTAAATGTATTGTTTTCTTCCTTTGACAGGGTTTTGGACTAAATTACATATTTATATTTTGTGATATTGAAATATTCTGTATTCTTAGCCCAAACTCAACTCAATGAAGATGGTTCATTTTTTAAAATATTTTGTTGGATTCATTTTTGAAGTTTTTTCCACTGACATTCATGAGGGAACTATGTCTGAATTTTCTTATTTCCTATTGTTTTTGTTTGCTTTTGATGTCAAGGTTATAATGTTATAGAATAAGTTTGTAAGTCATACTTTGTGTTTTAGTATCTGGGGTCTATAAAATATTGAAGTAATTTGTTTGTTGCAAATTTGGAATTACCTGTGGAATCTTTTCTTAATGGGAAAAATTTTAGTTTCTGATTCAAAAGAACTCTAAGTTACTAAAGGACTATTCAGACTTTCTACTTCTTTCTGTGTGAGTTTTGGCAAGTTTAAAAAAAAAGATTTTAAATGTAACCAATTTAAACCTTATTTGGCAAACACTTTTATAGTATTCCTGTTACATTTTTTATTTCACCCACATCAGTTTTATCCATTTATTTCATTTCTAGTATTATTTATTTGCATCTTTGTTCCTCAAACTGTCAACTTTTTATCTAATTTTTCCTTTTGAAAGGATGAACTCTCTAATCTTCTTAATATGCTTTTCTATTTCATTAATTTCTTTTTATTATCTTGTTCATTCTATGTTCTTTTGGGTTTATTCCACTTTTATTTTCCTAAATTTCTTTATCTTGTTTTTGAAATGTTCTTATTTTCTAAATAAGTATTTAAGCTTATAATCTTCATGAAAGTTTTGGTCTTTATGCTTACCACAAATACTGATATGTAGAATTTATCATTCAGATATAAATATAAAGATTTCCATTGCAGTTTCTTCTTTGAGCCATAAATTGTTCAGAAAAAAAGAGTTTTGAATTTATAAATTCATTGGTATTTTACATTTATTTATTTCTTGTTGATTTCTAAGTTTATAACATTTTTGTCTAAGAACTGAATATGTGGTATTTTATAAATTTCCAGTGTATTCTCTGAATCTAGGGTCAGGGAGACCACAATATTAAAAATGTTGACAATAAGGAAGAAATACTGAAAGGAACAAATAAGAATCTGCTAATAAATATAGAATTCCTCACAGTTATGCCTCAAACTAATCTTTTGATAGCATCTTACCTTAAATTGTATGTATCTCAGGAGCTTCTTTTCTTTGGAAAATTCAGTGATATATTCCTGGAGCTTGCTGTTGTGCATAAAGTTGGGGAAGTCATCAGGATATGGGAAGTCTGGGAAACATATCATCTCTTTGGAAGAGTTGGTAAAGACAGACTGGTAAATGCTAGCTCTGCCTTCCTCTGCATGGTCCTGTAAATGTATCGTTTCAAATGGGAGAGAGTTTGTAAATGGATAAACTTACCATGGTCAGTACCAGTTCCAAATAATTATCACTCACCTTTACCCATAAGTTAATTCAGTAAGATGAGGAATAAATTAACTTTACTTAAACAATTTGATGCTAATCAAAGAAACTTAGAATATGGAATATATCTTTCTTAACATTTTTTCTAAGGGAAACAAATTTTGAATTTCATTAAGCCTTTTTAGGAATATATAACTGAAATTGAAGAAAAAAATCTAATATATGTTATGATATGGATTAACTTTGAGGACATTATGCTAAGTGAAATGAGCCCGTCACAAAAGGATAAATACTGTATGACTCCACTTATATGAGAAATCCAGAGTTACCAAATTCACAGAGACAGAAAGAGTGGTGGTTGCCTGGGGCTAGGAAGAAGGGGAGTTATTGTCTAATTGGCAGAGTTTTAGTTTGGGAGGACTGTAAAATGATCCGAACATGGATGATGGTATGATTGCACAACAATGTGCATAAGCTTAATGCCACAGAACTATACACTTTAAAGCGGTTAAATGATAAATATTTATTGTGGTATGCTCACCACAGTAAAAAAAAGCTTCTTTAGCATATCATGAGGTAATTCTGGTGAATTAGAACATAGTATTTTCTTACGTACCTAGGGCAGAGAGGACTTAAGGTACGTTTATAATAGTGTTTTTCAAATGTTTTTGGCCACAACCTATAGTTAGTAATATATTTTATATTGCAACACAGTACATGCACACACACACACAACAGAAGTTTTATGAATAAATCATATCTAACTATTTGAGTTGCATTCTAATATGTTCTATCCTTCCCATTTAAAAATGCAGATTGATTCATTAATTTATTTCATAACACCCTAAAGGTCATAATTTCTAGTTTGAAAACAATGATTTAAAAGAAATGGAAGGGTGAAGTTTGGAGGACTGGGTGAGAGAAAGGGGAATAGAGGCAGGAAAGAGTGTGGTGGTAAATCACCTAGGTCTTAAAGTTTATTCTTTGGGCTGAAATGTCAAGATTAACATACCTCATATAAAACACTGAGGGCAGAGGAGCTTCTGTTTTCACATTTGAGATTTTGGTAAGATATCACTTATCTTAAAGACTCGCCCTGGACCAACCTTGGTAGGGGCAAGTTGCCACAGAGGAGTCAAGGAGCAGTGATTAGGAGGAGGCAGGATCTTAGCTTAGCTCTCTTGAACACATTCAGTTTGAGCAAAACAAGGAGCTCCCACTTGCTCCCAATAGAAATGCAGAAATTTTTAAAAAAATTTATATTTTTTATTAATGTATAATGTTTTATTAGCTCCATAGAAACATAGTAATTATCTGAGACTTGTAGAAGGTAGTCTACCAGAGAGTTGCCATGGAGGGGGCTAAGTGGCATTTTAGGAGAGAGCTGTAGAGTGGTCTACTTGGTTCAGGAACTTAATGGGAAAACTGGATCTTGGGGAGGTTCATCAGGTATGCTCATAGGAGGCAAGTAGGGTTTAATCAGCAGGGTCATTTGGCCTCTAAGCTAAGATAGGACAGTCTCCAAGTTCATCAACTATCGTCTTCAATTTAAGATTCCTAAAGAATAAGCGTGAGTGATAACAAATACAACAGGGACACCAAGAGACTAGAGGGGCCAGAGAACAGTCCCAGAATCTGTGTTTGAATTTGAGAAACTTTGGCTTTCCTCCACCCCAAGGTCACATAAGTCCTTTTTCTCCATAAGTTCAGATACAATCTTGGAAAAATTCAGGAGTTGAGAGGATCTGATAGACTGACTTTTGATCCAAAAGATATTTGGAGATTAAGCTGTGCCAATTGGGGGTACTTCTTTTGTTTTGGAATGCTTTTATGCTCCTCCCTATGTAATTTTGGATATTTATCTGTTGTTCTATTTGTGCTAGACACAAAAGAGTGACCTAAGCATTAGTAGTCTAGGATGTATTTATGGATAAAAAGCATTGCAAAAGATCAAGAACTCACAAGGAGATCATGAGAGAAGATGAGAGAAGAATTCCCCCGTTTGTAGCCAGCAAGGAAACAGAGACCTTAGGCTGACATCAGCAAGACACTGAGTTTAGCCACCACCCTGTGTGAACTTGGAAGCAGGTTCTTGTAGTAAGAGCCTGTAGTAAGAGCCCAGCCCAGCCCAGCCATGCCTTGGTTTTGGTCTTGTAAGGCCTTAAAGTGAGGAAGCTGAACTACGCTGTGTTTCTTGACCTACATAACTGAGAGTAATAAATGGGTGTTGTTATGAGTTGGTCGGTTTGTAGTAATTTGTTATGCAGACTTAGAAAACTAATACAAGGGCAGAGGTGAGGTACTGGAGCAAGCCACGGTTGGGGAAAATTATGTAATATTACACCAAGGGAGGTAAAGTAAGAATGATGCTAATCTTTGAGACAGGTTTGAGGTAGTTTTGCAACTGGCTGCTCCAGGATATCAGTCTTGATTGATCTGTAGATTTTCTTAGGCCCCCAAAGTCCTGATTGCTGAGGACGGAGCTGCAGCATAATTAAATACATCATTTGTGACTTGCTCTTTTTCTTTTTTTAAACAATGATGGACATCTTACTGTTCCTACTCAGTGTTACACAGTGCATCTCAGAGCCCGTATTTATAGACCGATCCTTCTAAGTTGATCAGGTAGAAAATTCATTAGGGAATGGCTATAGAGTCAATAATTGCATTTTTAAATATAATTTTTTTGGAGGGAGGGGTCAACAAAGGACGAAACCCTGCTTGTTTATGGAAGTAGATTTATTCTTTTCTGGTTACAAAAGTAACCCAAGCTTCCGATTAAACATGACCAATTATATAGACGTATTTAACTCTTCTTTCACCCGAGTCTTTATTAAAACGACTGCAAAACTATCAGAGGTATGAAGCCACAAGGGAAATAAAAAAAGAAAGAAAAGTAAGAACAAACAAAACCCAGCAAGAACATCTTAGAAGATTGAACATAGATGAATGACGACTGGTGTTAACAGACCAAAGAAAGCCCAAAGCTAAGCCTCGGTCTAATCAAATGAGAATCCAGATCCAATAATGATATCATAAGAGATACAAGGTCTAAAGTCTTTTTTTTCCACATGTATAACTTCTCAGAGAACTACTGGAGGATGTAGTCTGAATGTAATCTTCTAAAAGGAGAGACTAAACAAAATAATAGGACAATAAGGGCTCCAAAAAAGAGGGTTATCCCCTCAGCAGGGATGCAGCCCTTACTAGAGAAGGAAGACAAGCAGAAGAACTATTTTTTTTTAAAGATTTTTTTTTTAATTTGAGAAGAACTATTTTTAAGAGACGATTAAAAGAAGAATTAAGCAGATGGACCAGCCAGTGTGTTTCAACCTATTGAGAAGAGAACCATAATTCGAGGGAGAGCTTGGGGGATGAATTACAGATAGTATTTGTAAGGTTAAACAAAGCATACAAGGCAATTACTAACTCCAGTGCAAATAAAAGTTGTTCAAGGAAGAAAATGTAATGAGAATCCACTGAGTGGCTCCGCAGTGACAGTATTTACACAATTCTAACAATATAAACATGAAGGCTTGTTTAAACAAAAAAGATCATAAAACCATATGAAGAAGGAGATGAAAGATTCTGTAAATGGCTGTGACTTTTGTTCCATGTAATTTAAGGGATTGCTCTTTGTACATAACACATTCTATAGGTGCAGAGAAAGTTATAAGAAATGAGGAAATGGGCCAAAAATGAAAATAATGAAACAGAGAATTTAAATTTAGCTTAAAAGGGGCCAGTTATTACTTTGAGTAAGGGGAAATACAGTGTTGCATGATTTTCTGATTTTTCAAAAGAAGACAGATCTCTAGATTTTTATGTAAAATATCATGATTTTAAAATGTTAAATTAAAATCTAAAAAACTGCATAGATAAAATAGAATAGATTAGCTGCAGTACAAAAAGAGCCAGTTTGCTAACTCAAAAATATATAAAACAATTTATTTTTGTCTAGTAATTTTGTGATTTGTGGGTTTTGGTGAGGTTAGAAAGCTTGGTAGAGATTACACATTAAGAAACAAATTGATCCTAAGGGTGGAATAAAATCAGGGGAGGTGAACAAAGGGTTGTTCGTCCAGAAAAAAGAGGATTATTCATGAAACTTTGGGCCCAAATCCGGACAATTTATTGATGTATTGTTCGGGGATCTCCTGGGAAAGAAAGACATTTCCCTTTGACCCGTGGCCTAGTCCTAAAGTACTTTATTTTCTCAGTGATCAAAACAGGTGAGGGAAATACATCATTCCGGCTTTAGATCAGTGTTGCAAATGAGAACTAAAAGGGCACAGGGAGGTGCGACAGGAAACAGCCATAGTGGTGAATGAGCTGCACCTCTATTTTTTCACACTTAAGAAATTTTTGGATACCTCTCAAAGGAGGAAAAATGCTGAGAGAATATAAAGTGTTGATTTTAGAAACCAAAGGTAATGAAAATTCAAAATTAACAGGATTTTATAATATAATCCCATAATGTGAATTCTAGGCATACAGCGTAGGCTCCTAGTGGTGTTTGAGAAACACGGGAAGTTACGCCACCACCTGCAGTGTGGACCCTCTCACAGAGGTAATTAGGAAACCCTGAGTAACCTGTGTATTAGTTTCTTGTGTACTGTAATAAGTTAACACAAACTTAATGGCTTAAAACAGCAGGAATCTATTTTCTGAGAATTCCAGAGGCCAGTAGTCAGAAATCAGTATCACTGGGCTGAAATCAAGGTGTTTCACTGGGCTGTGTTCATTCCAGAGAGTCTAGGGGAAAATTCATTCCTTGTCCCTTCCAGCTTCTGGTGGATGCTAGCTTCCTTGGCCTTTTCAGTGCCCAGAGGCCACTTGCATTCCTTGGCTAATGGCCTCTTCCTCCTTCTTGAAGACGGAGGTCAGAACAGTCAGAGCATAGCATCTTCAAATCTCTCTCTCTGCTGAAGTGATCACATTATCTTTCCCCTTCTATCTCTGGGTGTCAAGTCTCCCTCTGCTTCCCTCTTAAAAGCATATATGCTATGGCATTTTTAGCACACCACATAATATAGAATGAGTTCACCATCTCAAGATTCTTAACTTAATCATATCTTAGTTTTCCTTATTAGGAACATTTGTGAGTTCCAGGGAATAGGGCCTGGTACCTATGGGGGGGGGGGGACCATTGTTCAATTGTTCAGCCTACCACAGGTCATTGGCCCCTAAAGGTTCACATCTATTCCACATGCAAAATACATTTACCCCATCTCTTCACTCCCAAATCTCAATCCATTGCAGTATCAGATCAAGTCCTGAATCTCATCTATACATCATCAGCTCAAAAGTCCCAAGTTGTATCACCTCAATTATCCAAATCAGGTATGAATGAGACTCCGGGTATGATCTGTCTGGGCCAAAATGCCTCTCTGTCTGTGGACCTGTGAACTAGCACACAAATTCTCCTCTACTAAAGGACAGCAATGAGACAGGTGTTGGGTGCCAGTTATAGATGCTCCTGTGCCCAAAGGGAGAGAATGGAAGGAAGAAAGCAGTTAACAGTCCCAATTCTGAAATCTAGTAGGGTAAACATTATTAGGTTCCAAGGCTTAGGAATAATCTTCTGTGTCTCAAGGCTCCAGCCTCTGGGTCTCAGTTCCACCTTCTGGGGTAGTCTATCTATTTTTTTTTTTTAAGAGAAGCATATGTTTGCAGCTGAGGACATCATCAACCTATGATGCCAGGTTCAAATGTCAAAGCCTTTCCTGAGCAGCAGGATATGTAGCTGCTCTCAAGAGCTGTATGGGCAATGCCTACCGTCAACAACGTTCTGCAAAGTGAGTCTGAATACGGGGACTGGCCAGGATTCCTGTGGAAATCCTGCTAGTTCGATAGGCCACTTACTAGAATGGCACCTGGCGTTTACCGAGGAGTTAAACATTCAGGCTGGAGGGACAGACCAGCTTGAATCAGGATCTTGTCTTTGTCACTTACCAGCCGTTTACTACTTTTTTTTCTATTTAAGGCTTCAGAGTCATTTAACAAAACTCATACTTGCCTTATAGGATTGTTTTAAAGATTTAATTCAATGGGAAAAAGTGTTAGGCATACAGGAAGTGTTCACTGGAATAGCCCCAAGAATCAACAGAGAGCTAATCTGAAGCCCTGTCAGCACGTTTCAGCAGCACAGTCAGGCTCTACAACGTCAAGCAGGATGTTGAGCAGTTTCAAGAATTCTTTACAGCCATATTCTCATGTCTTTATAATATTTAAAGAGTTGTCACAGATACTGTCTCCTTAAATTCAATCTTATTGAGGTATAAAACATAATACTAATTTTGCACGTGAGGAGGAAATGGTAGCCTAAAAAGGGTGATTGCTCCTCCTAAATTTGCATATATGAATGGTCTATCAGAAGAAGAAGAAGAAGAAGACATATGGGGTAGGCTTAGCCATGCAGTGTTCCTCAGGTGGGAGACAGTGAGGGAGCTGGGGCACAGGCAAGCCCCTCACACCTGCCGATGTGGTTGTCAGGCAACAGAGGAAGTGATTTAACGGTTGTGTGAAGGCCTGTCTGCTGACAGAGTCATTATTATGAATGCACAGAGACTAAAGGACATTGAAGAACTTCAAATCAGTGTATCTTCTTCTTGGTTCCTCCTTTGGCAGTATCATTAATTATATGGTTTTTGTAAGGCCAAACAGCACCTGAAACCTTAAAACCTGTGGTCTGAATCATTAAGTGGACCTTTGGTTAACCTCAACAAAAGAATGAGAACAACTCTGTTTTTTAAATGAGTAACTCATATAGTTACATTACATAAACCTAACCAATATTTGCCCTTGGACTTCATTCCCAGAAGTGGCTCAATTATTAATGGTTTACCAGCAGTGAATTCTGTACACAGAACCTACAAAGCTAGCTCACTATCTCATTTACTTCTGAAGTGAGCCAGCAACTTACTTTCCAACCTGCTCCTGTGTTTTGTAGATTCTAACCTAAGAGGGGCTACAACTGCATGGAATCTGGTTTGGAGGCCTGTGCTTCTGCAATGTGTTCTCACATAAGTCACACATCACTTCCTGGTCTGCTGCACTGATGTCCCGCTCACCGAGAATTTCCACAGGCCCCCAACATCTTCACTCCTCTCAAAGCAGGTGGGCTCCAGCCCCTCTTCCGGACAGCTTCTGATGGAGGCTAAGCCACTGACACCAGCTCCGATGATGGCCACTCTCTTCCCCATGGCTGCCTGTGCAAAGACCCAAAGAACATTACTAGCAACAGTATTGCCGAAAACAACTTCTTCTTCTTCTTCTTCTTTCTTTTTTTTTTTTTTTTTGTATCATTCTTTGGCTTACTTAGAAATTTTGGGGGCACCTGGGTGGCTCAGTTGGTTAAGTGTCCCCCTCATGATTTTGGTTAAGGTCATGATCTCATGGGTTGTGGGGTTGAGCTCTGTACTCAGCAGGGAGCCTGTTTGAGATTCTCTCTCTCTCTCCCTCTTCCTTTGCCCCTCCCCCCACTGGAGCTCTCCCCCCCCCAAATAAATAAATAAATAAATCTTTAAAAACTTTTATTTTTGCACTGAGAATGCAATATTAAAAAATAGATCAGAACTCTTTTTACTAATCTAACTACATTTTGCTTTTTCTCTCTGATTTCTGAAGAGAATTTTTTTTTCCCAAAAAAAGCAGCACTTTGTTTCTAATCAACGCCTCCAAATTAAGAGACGGACGGTCTGGCATGTGTATTTATCTTTTTTGCTTTTGACCTTTTATCACTGATTTTCTACCAGAGAGAGTGAGTATGAGCAAGAAAAGGAGATTCACAATTAAAACACATAGGCACACAATACCCACAAACACGTGTGTGTATATGAATGAAGAAAAATATGCATGTGTACGTGCACACACGCATTTATTTCTTCTTTCTCTTTGACAGAAGACTCAATGTGGAACAAGGTCAGGGCACGTCTGCATTTCAGTACAGCAGGAATCATCCCATTCCTCCCTACAATGTTCTTCATCTTCTCAATTAAAAAGAAAAGTCCGGTCTCTTACCTAAAAACTTCTTTCCACTGGCTGCCACTTCCACCTCCATTCTCTTTTTTAAAAATTAGATTTCCTAAACTTTTCCTGTTTCTGACACTATCTTTAGGCCTTACTATTACTTCTCTCTATTTTTTTTTTCTTTTTAGGCAAAACCACATAAATATGTAGTGAAATAGACTTGGATGACAAGAACTTGTCCCTTACTTCTCAGAGAAAAAAAGATCTACCTGAATTATATGTCATTCTCATTCTGACCACATTTGGTATGAGCTATAGATTCCCTTCCCATCCCCCCTCCTCCCTCTCAACCCATTATAATATCATCCTTTTCCCCTTTTCTACCTTTTTCTTTATCTTCCCTTCTGTATGTTTAAGTCCTGTCCAAGTCGTTTGGGCAGTTGGGAAGGAAAATGTTTTCCCTGGGCCAGCACGCCATGGAAATTATTGGAAAATGGGAGGAACTACTTTTACCTGTTTTTTATATTTTTTTATTTTGGGGGAGGAACTGCTTTTAAAGGGGAACTCACGGGCTCCTGGGTGGCTCAGTGGGTTAAGCCGCTGCCTTCGGCTCAGGTCATGATCTCAGGGTCCTGGGATCGAGTCCTGCATCGGGCTCTCTGCTCAGCAGGGAGCCTGCTTCCCTCTCTCTTTCTCTCTCTCTGCCTGCCTCTCCATCTACTTGTGATCTCTCTCTGTCAAATAAATAAATAAAATCTTTTAAAAAAAAATAAAGGGGAACTCACTTCCTGGTCTTCTCACAAGTGAGCCCACACCGCCAGCTCCCCAGATAGGCTGGGCTCTGCCCAGTCTCCTGGCTACCCAGTGCCTGCTTTCCCTTTAGTTAAGGTAAACATGATCACTGCTTACACTTCTAGGTACTTGGCCTGGAGTCAGGCTGTTTTTCCCAGACGACTTGGTTTTCTGCTGTGTTATTTTGGAGTTAACCCTGTTTTACTCAGTCCTAATTTTTTGAGGGGTATCTCCTAGTAGCCCCCCTAAATCTATAGAAATCTAGCTGCTTAATTGACATATCCCAGCAGTAAAAATGGGTTTTCTATGTTCCTTCCTCTCTTTTGACTTTTGTGGTCAAAGGCCTGGATTTCACAAATTGATATTTCTTTGATTTTGGGGGACAGTGTACCATCATGGAAAAGATCAAGTTTAATAAATTGACCCATTAGTACCAGGTAAAATTATGTTGGTGATAAGATTAATCAAGCTGCACCTAACTCCCACTCCTGAAATACAGTGAAATTTCTAAAAATTCATTCCCTATCAAGCACATTTTTATATCACTTAAATTATGACACCTCAATTATTCTACCCACTAATCCCTTCATTAAGCAGGTGATACTTAACATAAACTGACATATATTTCATTTTGGAGGAACTGTTTTTTTATGTCTTTTGGAGATGTTAGTGCTCATCTGTGAAGTAAATACAGTTAAGTGAACAGACAAGACGTCAGATCTCCAAGCTGTCAGATGTTTGGCCTTGAGCAAGTCATTTAACCTCTCCAATTCTTGGTTCCTTCGTTAATGAAATAGGGATACTACACTACAACATTTGTCTTGCTCAGTTATTACAAGGATTATGGGATATTTATATGTATACGAATATGTATATGTATATTTACACACACACACACACACACACACACACACACACACACACACACACGGCATGTAGAGGTAGCAATTCCCAAATGGTAAATGTGGGGTATAGGTAAGATTTTTTTCTTTTAATCCCAGGGATCACTAAATTTTCTAGGGCTTCAATTCAGACCACATGATTTTTTAAAATTATTTTTATTAACATATAATGCATTATTTGCCCCAGGGGAACAGGTCTGTGACTCATCACAGATGACCTGATTTTATATCCTCTCATTTTTCAAAGAGCTCTTTTTCGTTTTAATGCTAATCCAGAGGAGCTCTTCCTCAGGAACATTCCTGTAGCCTTGTTCATCTAAGGAGAGGCAGGACACACACACCCAATTCCACCTTAGCCTCTACTGTTGTTTTCTCCTTCTAGCAGGTGAAAAAGGCCACTCTTCCCCTCTCTGACCTTTTCAGGAGTATGTTCCATCTGTGGCAGACACATATACTGACCTGGTCCCTCTCCTGGGCGTCTCAGCCTCGCTTTTACTTGCTGTCGCTTTCTGCAAAGCTCTTTTTCATCTTCCGAGTCTCAACTGCCCAGGCTTGACTGGGGCAGTGGCCACTCCCTGCTTCATTGGCCCCTCTTTTCCAAACCTTCTATGCAGTTTCCTTCCTGTTCTCTGGATGGGGGCCAGTTCGAGAGGACGTTTGGTAGAGCAGTTTAGCTCAGACAGTATGGCACTTCTCGGAGGCCGATCAGGTGTGTCCCAAGCTCACTCTTAATTCCCGGCCGCACTCCCCACGCACGACCTTTGACGGCTGTTCTAGACCCTGCAGCTTGGGGTTTCCAGGCGGAAGTTTGAGTGTGAGTGCTTCAGGGAACAGGCCTGTCAACTGAGACTTCCTGAAGGAATATTTGAGTCAAACACTGAGACCGGACCAACTCCGTGTCTTTCCTCTGTTCCTTGACTGGTTCAGTCCCCATCACTGCATGGAAGAGGCACCTGTACAAGCTTGTAAAGAGATCATCATCTTGCACGTGCCCAGGGAGATTTGGTGCCTGGTGCCTCGTTTCCTCCTGGAGGAGGCTGGAGTTGGGGGTTGACGGACTTCTTCTGTGAGGGCCAGACAGCAGATGTTTCAGGTTTCACTCTGCCGCTGTGGCCGAAAACCCTTGTAGACAGTATGTGAGTTGATGGGTGAGGATGTGTTCTCATGAGACTTATTGATAGACCCTGAAATTTGAATTTCATATACTTTTCATATGTTATGAAATATTCATCTTCTTTTGATTTTTTCCCCAAACTGTTTGAAACCGAGAAAACCATTCTTGGCTTGCCAGTCATGCAGAAACAAATGGGACCAGAGTCGGTCACCGGTTCACCCTGCTTTGGAGAAATGACATTGTTCCAAGTGTTGGGGGCTCCTGTGGGGTGATCTTAATGAAAAGCTTATCGGCTGTTAGTTCATCTGCTTAATCGTCCGCTCACACACCGAAATCATAAGCTCCAGAGAGGTGCAACAGTGACAAAGAATGATGTAAAATCAAAGTTTAAAAGTCCAACAGAATAGAGACAAATCCAAGTCAAACAAGTCCTTAACTAGCAGGTCCCACAGCTCAATAAACTTCCTTCAAGAAAGCTTCATAAGAGATCATGGATTTCTGACACTGGGTGTTCTTATTTCAACACGTGTGAATGAGGGGTGCCTGGGGGGCTCAGTCGGTTAAGCACCTGCTTTTGGCTCAGGTCATGACCTTGGGGTCCTGGAACTGAGCCCTGTGTCAGGCTCCCTGCTCCCTGCTCACTCTGCTCCTCCCTCCACTTGTGCTAGCTCGGTGGCTCTCAGATAAATATATAAAATCTTTAAAAATGTGTGAATTGATAGAAGAGCAAAGGAAACTTTATGAGTCAGGGTGTTGCTGAAGAACAAATGTAGACTTTTTTTTTTTAAATAGATGAATGTTTGACACTTTGTCTACTCAGAAAAGCATATCTCACAGAGGGTAAGTTATCTGAATCACCTTGAGGAGGAAACCAAGGTGACACATGTCTCGCAGCTGGCCTAAATGGGCTCGCTGTCCCAAGAGGTCAGAACTAAGGAAGAGTGCCTTACCTGATGTGTCAAGAAGTGAAGAGGATCGAGTCAAACTCTTTCAAAATAAAAAAGATGAATATAACAGAGCCAAGACGAGCTACCGAGCCAAAAGGCAGGAAGGGAGTCCCAACCAGAGAAAAATCAAGAATTTGGAGCTCGCTGTAAATGAAACAGAAACAGAACGCGAGCCAAGGGAGAAGTTATTGGGAATTAATACTACTGAGTAAAAGGTCTACATATTGCTTTTATTGGTTAATTTGTGTGTGGTACTTAGTGTACTGTTCTGGTTAAACTATGCCAGCTGTAATACCAGTGTTGCAAGTGTCGTTAACCTTTGAACGATGTCGGGGTCAGCGGCTCTGACCCCTGTGCAGCTGAAGATCTGTGAGTAATTTTTAACTCCCTAACATAATATGACTCATATTATTCCTACATAGCTAAAGGCCTTTTCCCCCCTGAATAATATACAACAACAATATGTGAAATTATTCCAAACCCATAAATAAGGTTATATCCTTCTGTGTGGCTGAAGAGTCAGGATAGATGTTGATATAAGACTGGGTCACTCAGGATCAAAGGAAATGATACTTGGGATCTGTTCATAATATAGTAGTAATACCAGCTGCGAGTACTGGGGAATGCCAGTAATAATATTACATTGATAATTAGAACACGTCAAACAGTGGTGTTTCGTGTTGAGACACAGTTGGTGGTTTCAGATTGATAATGGTAGTAGCAAGACTGATTGCACCTAACGTGGACGAGGAACCTGCTAAATGTAAAGAAAAGATAGTGAAATATACAGAAGCTGCCACGGGGACAGGGCAGACATACTGTTGGTTCTGTGCCAGTACCTCTTTAATTATCGATGAGGCAAGTAGACCAAAGAATAATGGTAGAAGAAGCAAAAGTTTATATTGTTTGTTTGAAGAAATGCTGTATCTTCAGCATCACAGAGTCTGTGGTTATTCACGGTACTAATCAATTGCTGAAGCCCTCAATTCTAATGGATATTACTGTTGGAAAAATTATTATGAACAAGGGAACAGTAACAATTATGTTAAAAATTTTATCATTTCTTTTTTAAAAAAAGATTTTACTTATTTATTTGAGTAAATTTTATCATTTCTTAATAAAGCTCCAGGTTGACCTAATTCAGCATGAGTAAGAAGAGTTAAGGAGGTTCCTCCCATTCTGGTTCAAGCACGGAACTGTAACCATGATGTGCCAGTGTCGTCGTGGTTTGTTAATAGCAGGTGGTTTATGGAAACAGATGAAGTGGCTGAGTAAGCATTAGACTAAATCTAAAGACGGAGGTTGAATCCTATTTTGACCAAGCCCTGTGGTGAATAACAGATTGAGCTGCGAATTCAAAAAAGGAGCTTTGGTTTTGTCACGCTTGCCCCATCTTTCTCCTCTAAACCTTGGAAAAGACCAAAGACAGTTGACTGGAGGATTTAACTTAATTCAAGTGTTCGATTTGCATTTAGTTGATGTAAGATAGCCCACAATCTGTATTTCAGGACCACAGAGCTTTAAAGGTGTTTCACCTACGTTAACCCAAATTCCTAGTCGGGCACTGAGGATTTTGGCGTTAGGGGAAGGACTGATGTTGATTCAATGTTGAATGGACGTAAAAAAAATTACTTGGCTTATGTTTGCAAATTGTAATTTTATTTCTGTTATTTATTGACAGAAAGGGTAGTGAGGTAGAATAATAATTGTGTGTAGAACTATGGATTAAGTAGGGCTGGAGTAGTTTTAATGT